CCGGGTCTCCTCATCATCCGAGTCATGATTAAACACACAAAATCCGTGCTCAGTACATGACAAATCGCCCATTGCGGCCGCCGTTCTCGCACACAGCTCAATCGACAGTGTGTGGACTTTAACTTTCGCCGAGGAAATAGAGCGAGCGAAAATCGCTCATTCGGTCCACTGTCTCCCAAGAACTCCACAATCTAGGTCAAAATGAAATGTGCTCAGCATAATCAGTGATGTATCGTGCTCTTCCAGTCACATGCACCTATATGAATAACCGATATCTTGGGTCTGTGATCAGAAATGCTATTCTCGCATCAAGGTAATTCTGGTAAAATTTTGGTATAAACATAATAGGTAAAACAAATCATCCACAAGCCACGTAACCATGCAAGATGCTGGTTTTATCTGGAGGCATCGGGCGATGAAAACTGATCACTGATAACCCAGATGAATGTATGTATATATATGACGGGACAGAAGGACAAGATGCCAATGCACCCATATGATTTGTACTGGAATCACGGCCCAAAAAAGTCAGAGACACGTACGCCTACTAGATCGTGGCAAAATTTTTAGTACCACAGGCTGGAAGTCCAAATAATGACCTACTGTTTGAAACCTCCCCTTTGGAAGCCGAAAGATCCCGAGTGGGAAGACCGTGAAACTTTCAGAAGAAATTATATTGAGCCTCTACGATTATACATCCGAAAAAAGACGCCACACGTGGTACTCCGTTTTCGTCCTCAAAAGTCGGAGGTAAAACAATATCCCAGAGCACACTAGTGGGGTGAGTCGTGGCAGACGTCCCGTCGGAAGTAACCGACTTTGAATAAATACCTTCGTCGGGAGTAAGTAATAATGTTACTGCAATATTCGATTTGGCCTAGTCCTCTGGTTTACCCACTGAAAACTTTCTCCCAAGCCGTTTTACACAGGCACAAACCTTACTGAACTGTTGAACCTTAACTACGGTTGTAAAAAATCACAAAACGGTGAACTTCAAAAATAACGTAGCAAACACGGTGGACACTATCCCAGTAACAGCAAGTCACAAGCTGCACGACGCGAGTACAAAGGATACAGTGACTCAGAAACAAGAATAAAACATTGCATTCTGTACATTCTACAGGGAGCTTATATGCAGCTTTCGAAGATTTATGGAGCCCCAGAGCCTCATTTGAATACCCTGAATACCCGCCTAGGTTGAAACGATATTACCAAATTCCGAGGCCACCTGAGACCTGTCTAACAATGCGACACTCGTGCATGTATCCGCCGGACACCTGCCCGTTGATCTACTTTATGGGTTTAATTCCATGAATAACAAAAAACTGCATTTTATGGTTGGAAGAAATTGAGCAAGAGGAATAACAAGGATTGCCATAACCGAAATAGCAGGTACTGTGGTTATCATGCTGTCAACGTTGCTTCAGCTAGGCCTCAAAATCGGGTAACGCCCAGGCAGTGGGAACCGATGACCTATAATGACACATGAGATCGGCGCCAGTCCCCAACTAAAACGAATATAAGGCGGTGCGCTAAATTGCATCTAGGATTGAGGACAAATTATAAGATATGGGTGGAATAGTTAGTGGGATGTTTTTCGAGAACATTACTGGCCATTGTCGAGCAAACTGAAACTTTGCAGTACCACATGGCGCAGTTTAAAATGACGCATGCTGTGAAACCGGAAATGGTGTCATTGACTCAACCAGTTTGCTCGTCATTTGGTCGGACACCCCCGGACACTTGTTAATGCTCTAACGGAACCCGAAAACTAGTTATACGAACGAGAAAACGGGGAGCACTAACAACGTCCGCTTGTTGAGTAAAATTATTACAATAGATATATATGCAAACAAGGGACTTATCGTTTTGTAGGTACAGTTTGATAAATCCTGTTTTAAATCCGGATGCAGGTTTCGTGTCTTCTTCGCTGTTGTAACAGCCACACGTAGTCCTAGATATCCGTGAGTGAAAGGCCGTAAAAATCCTGAGCGGCTCTGCTCCGAGCTGGGCGACGAGCGAAGCTCCGTTGAGTTGTTTCGTGTCGCTGTGCTGGCATCTTATTTGTGGGACGTTTGCGTGTGTGTGGGTGTCAGCACACGGCTTTTTGCTACCGTATCAGATGGTAGACAGTCGATATCGGATGTGTGTCGTGGTTTGTACTATTAGGGAATAGAATAACAAGGTCTTGAGATTAAGGACTTGACTGTGAGCTGTGTAGTCAAGTTAGTCACGATTGTAGCGTGATTTGTGAGTGCAAGGGAAAAAATAGATCTCGTGATCCAGCGAGTGGCGGTGACCTGTACAATCATGTATGTGGCGAAAGGGTAGCTACACACCCTCCCACTCTATCCTTATAGGCTGTTTTTTCAGTCCCGATTGTCGCATCTGAAATCACACCCAAAACGTTTTATGGTGCACTGTGGCCCCAAGCTCCGCTCCGTGAGGCTGATTGAATTCTTCTCGACGTTCTCTACCGTGGCCGCACAAGTCGACCGGAGTAAAACCTTTGCCTGACACAGACCACTCAGCAGTTTTGCTCCAGCTACTGCTCTTACTGGCATGTGATTTTATTGCTCACATAGCTCCCTGGGAGAAGTGACAAAGCACCGGGTCTAGCAGCCCCCACGATGATCGAGGTCGTTCTGTATAGCGCTTTGATTTGGCACGTCGACGCTCTCACTGGTTACTGCGCGGGCCACTCATCGCCCCTTCTGGCTCACCAACGAAGGATACTTCATCTGTTAGGACTCTATTGAGGCGGAATGTCAACCTTGTGACGACGTTTTATTTCTTCTGCTCGGAACTTCAAACATTTATTGGAAACATGTCCTATGCATGGTTTTCAAAAAGCCCGAATTTCCTTGACAAACTCAAGATGGAACCAGTTTTAGTGAAGGGTATGCACAGGACCGTCGTCCAAATAATTAAGGAAGCCGGGGCGGAGGTCATCCCAAGTAAACCCGCATGCAGCTGAACGAACAAAAGATAAGCGAAATCTAAGCATTCTGTAAAAACGAGGTCCAATTTTTCCCAAAAGTAACTGCAGGAGGTAGAAGATGTGCTGGAGTTCTGTAAGATGCAGGACCGCCGAAAATCGGAAATCCGTGGATGAAGCGAACCAAACCGGGCCACCATTCTAGGCCCGCCAGGAAAAGCAAAAATGCATTGTTTAAATATATGAGACAATGCCGCTTTCAACTTGAGGGACGGAAATGAGTAACCCACGAACCACTCAACGCCGCCATTCGATGCTCATCTATAATGCCGTGCAGGCATTCGTTCTGCACCCGCGGCCCTATCTCATCAACTATTGATACAAATACAACTACCCTCTAACCGACTTGGTCTCCACGGGAGGAAATGATCGACAACTGTCGTGCAAGGCCCTTCAGCATGTTGGGGTCAGAAGTGGTCTTTACGCGAATACTGAAATACTTTTTACCCATACTGGCAGGGCATGTCTAACTTCTTTGTCCCAACAACAACGTAACGCAGGGATCCTTCCCTGTGCTTGGAACGCGGCGGTTGTCACCCCAATCTTCAAATCTGGTGACCGCCAATCGGTCGGCGGCTACGTTCTATTAGCCCCGTCAGCATGCCGCTCAAAATGATGGAGCGCATTTTGAATGGGGTCATTCCAAGTCACATCAAGAGGAAAAAGTCAATATCTTTAGTGCAACGTGGAGTTCTCGCATGGCCGACGTGCACGTGTTTATGGACAGCTTAACTCAAGAGAGAGAGGGCAAAGACTCACATCGGACGCCACACTTTTCGAATTACCAAAGGAATTTAATCGAGTTCCACACGCTCTGCTGACACGCTAGAGTCTCATGGGACTATAGGAGAAATTCTGTGCTGGATTAAAGACTTCCTACCAGACGGAACATTCCCGGTATAAGTAGGCTTGACCTAAATTTCTTCCACACCAGTTTCCATTGAAGTTAGTCAAGGCCCTGATTTAGGACCACTACTGATTCTGGTATACATCAGTGACCTTCCAGACACTTTCAAGGCTGTGTGCAACTTCTGCGATTGACTCGGAATCCTGGAGTTCCACTACCAGCGTATTCCAGATGGATGCGGACACGGAAAACGAGTAATCACCGGATGGGCAGCACTATATGGACGCCGAAAAGTTCATCCGTAGGCCGTTCAGAGGCTTCCCGGTGGACGCCTTCTTTGTGCTTTGTGGGAATGGACCAGAAGATACTATCAAGGATGTAGGCCTCTGGACCTCTTCATACATGCCCTTCTGATCCGAACATGAAAATTCGGCTCAAAAATATTTTGTTCTGCGGAATTCCACACATTCCACTGGGTCTCGTCACACCACTCCTTAAGTGTAATAACCAGGTCGTCTACTCAGGACACAAGAAGGATGTGGCCCATTTTGAGAGTGCTCAGAGAGCTGCAAAGAAAATGGTGTCTGGTCTCAAATTCGATGACTACGAGCTGTGTGTCGGAGTGCTTGAACTTTTTCTCCTGGTATGTTGTTGCCTCTGAGAGGACCTATTACCTACCGACTATCTGTTTGGGGAAGGTTTGTTGCGCAGGATTTTTCACCGTTGGCCGAACTGATACATGTAGGGGGCATTGGTAGAGTTTTCAAGACCGGAACTCACACACTTATCAACCAGTAATTTTATCACTTCGGGTGGAATAACCTTCCTCCAAAGGTTTTGGATGCCTCGTCCAGAACCCAGTTCGAAACGTTTTAATGTGAGGCCTCACACAGAAAGCCTAATGCCCAGCACTGAGAAATTGAGGAGCAGTGCTACACCACTTTTCTCTTGCGTTTTCCCGATGAAAGAAGGCCGCATAACGATAACAACAAACAATACCCTGGAGTCTTAGGTGAATGTCTCGATCTTGTGAATCTACCCGTGAATCGATGACCTATTGAAAATATTGGGGCCTCGAGACCTGTGAAACACCTTAACCTGAAGTTGGCGCCGTTTTAAATTCCTTCGACACGTTAATTATACGTCATCCGCATCATGGGTCTATTCGATTTAGATTTCTTTGATGAGTTTAAGCGAATGAACAAACGACAGGTACATGTTAATATCTTTCGCTAGTAAGCTTCAGGTTTATTACCAAATTCTAACAATCCTTATGGTTGTGGGCTCTGCGCTAATGCTGTGGAAAGGACTTATTGTGTTCACATACAGCGAGAGCCCTCTGGTTGTTGTGCTAAGGTGAGCATTTTAGATTGATCTTACAAAAAATATATAGTGGGAGCATGGAACCGGCGTTCTTCCGCGGAGATGTTCTTTATCTGACTAATTATCCTGATGAACCCATACGGACAGGCGATATAGCGGTGTTTCGGATCGAAGGTCGAGATATTCCGATCGTCCATCGAGTTATTAAAGTTCACGAGAGGTTAGTCTGATTGCTATGCTCGGAATTTCTGGTGCTTCTGTTAACTGAGGTTGAATGGAAATGAATTCTCATGCGGAAATTTTAGCTTGAATTCTCCAGCAAAAGGGTGCCGTTCGACTGACACTTTTTCGCTAGTCTGATTGGCTCGGAATTTCTGGTGCTTCTGTTAACTGAGGTTGAATGGAAATGAATTCTCATGCGGAAATTTTAGCTTGAATTCTCCCTCCAAAGGGTGCCGTTCGACTGACACTTTTTCGCTGCCTAGGGAACATACTGTGACTGTATTTCCAAAGCCTCTGGGTAGGTTGTTTCCCTCATTGGCACTGGGCTTCCTCTGCTGTCCAGCGGTGTGCACAGGTGCGATGCAACCTTTTCGAGTTGACGCGATCACACGCTATTTCCGGTGAGACTGGACACGCTTTATCGTGAAGCTAAAGACGGAGAACCAGCCTTATAAGCCGCTAAACTCTAGCGCCAACCAACTGGGGGGGGGGCGAGATGGTCCAAGTGGTTTGAGCGCGAATCGGCTAACAGGACGGCCTGTAGTTCAAATGCCACCGACTTCATCGGTCTAGTTTTGGGCATCGTGGAAGTGCTACCCTAGTGCTACCTTCTGATGGCGAAGCAGCTAGGCACCAAAAAGGTTTTCAGCAGAACGGCGCTTTTAACTGTTCACTAAAAACGTGTACGTTGGACCGGATAACG